CAACAAGAATCAAGAGGAAAAAGGCAAAGAATCCATAGTTGCCAAGCGGGCTCTCGACTCCTTTCAGCAACATCTAGGGCAGGATTTCTTTACAGGGTTCCATAGAACGCTGGTTCTATGGTTTCTCAAAGAAAAAGGATTTGACTTCAAATCCTTATTGATGTCAAAAGACATCAAATAAATTTAGGAAACACTGCAATCCTACCCAAGAAGGTTTATTATGTATATTAACTTTTAAGGCTCTGAGAAGTCCTGTTGGAAATAACCCTATTTCACTTTAACATGGCATACTTCAAACTTATTTGACCACAGAACCCATTTTCCACTTAACACCCTTGAATATCCTGAGGATGTACTATTCTGTGAAACACTGATCTACAGGACATCTAAATGTGTGAAGTGTCTCTAATTCGCAAAACAAAATTTCAATTCATTTTAGTTTTTAAAACTTTAAACTTCAAAACAATTTGCAGGATGGAGGAAAACAATGTTTTGAAATCAAATGAACACACCAACAAAACCCAGGGGAAGTAGGTGATGTCTCTTGGAAGGTGGAGAATCTCCATCTTGGAACGAAAATCCAGTGCTAAAACCTGTGTCTCCAAGTCCGGGACGAGAAAGCAGTCAGCAAATATCCTTCCACCTGCCCCAGGGCCAAGGTGGACCTCTGGCAGGCCAATCTCTTTGGCGATGGCACAGAAGTGGATCCCAACAGGCCCCTTTTTCCATCTCTATACAGAAAGGTCACCTGTGAGAAGCACAGGGGGTGCCTGGGGAAGACTTTACTTGTACAAAACTTTATTTACAAGATATTGAATATTGAGCATTAGGAACACTCTACAAAGAAGCATTTAATAGGAGCTTAAAGTTCACAAGAATTACCAGTAGTAATTCTGATGATTTTCACCCCAATTTATTTACGCTCCACATATGCTCTGCGGCCAAAAGAGACCTTCCAGAAAGCCATTTATATATGCAACTACTTTAAGTAAGAGCCACTCAGGCTCTGTCCCCATGCTTAGCAGGCTGGCCAGAGGTGACCACAGGCACGTTAAAAACCCCACAGGCCCAGGAAGAACAGCCGTGGTGCTGGTTGTCACTACTTTCCAGGGAGAAGAATGTATGGAAGGAGTGCACCAGCCTCTGCACAGAAACCCCTTTGCACAGCTGTGTCAATTTTCCTTTACGGTTGTCAACACTAGAAAGATCCAGACAGCCATTTTCTTCATGAATGACAGTTGAGACTTCAGGCTTTTTAAAAAGAATAACGATTCCTGCAGGTGCAGAATTCTTGAGGCTGGTGTATTGTAACCAAAGACTAGACTACAGTCCCAAGTACAAGTAACACAGTATATTCTCCACAGAATATGTACAGATTCATATTTACCATACATTACATTCCCTAAAACAGAAATATCTACATCAAGAAAAAACATGGCATAAATAACTTAGATTGTCTGTATTTGATTAAATCAGAATTAATCTTATCCCCCAACGTGAATCTTTAAAGACATAACAGAATCACAGCAGTCAAACATCAGTCCAACAAGCATCAAAGACTTCCTCCTTTTGGGAAGTAGCCTGCGTATAAATTCCACATGGCCTCCCACACTAGTATACCACTATCTCGTTATGGCTCCATCTCACAGACAGAATGTTAGGTTTCAGGTTTACAATTATACATACTATGCATCTTTAAAACTCTATGAGTCTGTCCTCTTATGACAGATGAGAAACCTACTGTTCTAAGAGATTCATCAGTGATGTGGCCAGTGGCAGAAACAGGAAGAAAACTGCCCCTCTCCTCTCCATCTGGGTTTTCCTGGTTGATGGTTTCCAATCCTTATCATCAAGCAGCTGGAACAACTAAATACTGGGCTGCTCCCTAACGGGGTTTCCAAATGCCAAAGGATGAAGACGAATGAAAGAACTTGTGAATTTAGGCATCTTTTGACAATAAAATTACGGTGAGACTGAAGCTGCTTTCTCTCCGAGAGGACACACATGTCAAACTGAGGAGGGCTCACTGGAAGCTCAGCCTTGCAACCACCACCCTAGCTCACAGACATCTATGCTTTCAATTTGTGCACCAAGTATATGCATCAAGCTTTATGAGTCCCTGAGAGAAGAAAGTGCCCTTCACACCCCAGTAACTGGCACTCATAAAAAGGTATGGTTATTTTTTTCTTTTCTGATAGACCTAGAGGTCAAAGGCTTTTACACATGGTCTAAAATGAATGACACGTGTGAAACACCCAGCCCCCAGAGAAGCTCCCCACCACAGCTCTCCGGCAAAACTGTCTGTCACTTGGACAGAACTGCTCCATTAACTTCACAACAAGACGGCTCCAATTCAGGGTTACGTGACCGTCAGTGAGCAAGCCAGGAAGTGAGTCTGGAGAATACCATGACTACTGGTTTAAAAAAAAAAAACAACAAACCAAGAGAGTCATTATAGAACAACTCTTTGGGAAGCTGGGGTGCTTAATTTGGGAGAAGCGAGGCCTGCGATTGCAACCTCAGGCCTGTTGTGTGAATTCAGGAGAGAGTCTTCAATAAAGTGATAGCCACAAGTTAAGTTTAAAAGCAAAGAATGTACTTCAGGCCACCGTGCTCCTGGCTGTTCAACGGAGCAATTCATTCCAGAGTGAAAGAGAAATCCTAAACCCAGAAACCAGACCCCCTCGAAACCCATCACTGTCTTTAGGATGCTTCCACTCTTGCTCTGGTCATACTGAACTAGTTCACATTCAGGAAAATTTGATGACTTCTCATTTTTAATTGAAGAAATATCTTCTTAAAACAACATCCTCCAAAATGTTCTGAGAAAAAGATGACTAAATGACCTACGGTTTCATAAGGGCATAATAATCAAATGCATTATCCCAAAAGTAGTCACATTATCAAAATAATAATAATATTATCAAAATATTTAATAATAATTAAACATGTTTTAAAAACTTAAGTATTTAAATCTCCCTTAAGTATTTTTATACAACCCTTTAGGATTATACATATACAAGACAGGTCTGCCATTCAACTAAAAGTAAAACAGTCACTTGAAAAATCAGACGAAAATTGATAGTACATTTCCTTCTGAACTTATTCTTTTCAACGAACTAGAAAGTGGCCTCCTTACAACTACACCAAAATTAAAACTTACTTGTGCCTTTAGAAACCATAATCGAATTCCTCTTATTAAAGGAAGATAAACTATTTATTCTTCTAAAAGCCAAATAATCTAAATTTCTCCCCACCAGTCTCCACCAGTCGCAGCTCTGGAGTAGTACTAAACAGCCAGCATGAAGTGTGTCACCCTATTCAGCTCCCACGGCAGTCTTTTTACCATCTCAAGGGCAATTAAATGACTGAAAACAGATGTCTGAGGTCTGTTAAAGGCCTGCGTCTGCCTGGGAAAGCAGAGAAGCTTCAGCACCACTACACTCTTGACATTGCGCTTTCCACAACCACCGGTGAGCTGGAGTGAGTCACCGTAGGAGACCCTGGTAATTCCCTCACTGGGGCGGAGGGTTACACAGGCCCAGGTTTCTGTGCCTTGGAATCCCATTTCTCTTTTATGCCATTTAAAGAAGGGTGTAAGGAGCTTGCTGAGATTAAGAAAAAGAAAAAAGGAGCTGGGGCACAGAACAGAGCCTGTGGACGTGGGAGGGCCTGGGGGTGCAAACCTGTCAGCAGAAGACCCCAGTGTTCATCTTACTTCTTGAGGAGGAAAGTTTCAGGGCAAGCTTGTGTACTGTTACTCTGCCTCCGGTTGAGAGCATTTCCTATTTTTTACCATCTCAAGGAAATTAGGAGGAACTATTATGGTTCAAGCCATGCAAGAAATATGGATTCAGAGTCTTAGCTGTGTGACCCTGGGCAAGCTACTTAACCTCTCTGGGTTCCCTGCTTAATCATCTGTCAGTATGTTTACCTAATTACACCATACATGTTTCGGCCCACTGCAGTTTTACAAAGCACTTGCACATACTTCAGGGCATTTGATCCTGCAAAAACCCTGTGAAGTAACAGGGGCTATTATTCTCATTTTCTACAAATGGAAATCAAGGCTCAGAGGCGAAGTGACACACTCCCGACGGCAGCCAGAAAGCAGAAGTGGGACTGAGCCCTCTACTTCTGATTCCAATCAAATGCTCTTCTTACCACATCATGTGGCCTGGTTGCTCTGGTTCCAATAGTTTTAAAATGCCACAACTTTAAAAACCTCTGTCACCATTCACAACCCATGTCACTCTGCTGGGAACCTGACGTCATTTATACGTTGGGGAACAAGAAGCACATGAGTAAGTGCTCTCTCACAGAAAAACTCCTGTTTTCAATTTAACTCTTTTTTTCTTTTAACTGCGTAGATGCTGAGTGCTAACTAAGAAAGATGCTTACTACCACGGTGAAGAATCTACCAGATCTCGCTTCTGGTGGAAATACCCATGTATGAAAGAGCCCAGAATACATATTCTACAGGTAAATTCGAAGTACCTGCAAATCGTTACTTGACTGGAAAAAAGGATGGAGAAACCACAACACAGAGGATCGACAACGGCAGTGTTGGTTGGGCCTGAGAGTCTCAGGAAGTCCTTTGGCTGGGTCCTTAACCTTGAAGTTTGTGTGACTTAAGGTCCCCCTTCCTCCCCTTCCCTTCCACCCTCATCCATCCATCAAGTAGGGAGACCTGTGACATAGGTCAGCAAGGGCGACTGGATACAAAGAAGAAAGAAATCTCTGAAATGTGTGTAGTGTGTTCTTTTCACTGGCAATAAAATTCCTGAGCTGTCAGCAAATTGTGGGGAGGGGCACCTGACAGCCCTATTTGTTTTGCAGGTAAAACTTGGAGATGAACTGGTTGGCGGCAGCCATGTTACTGTGCACCACCGCTCCACGGTTCTCAAATTCTCAATGTGGAGTCAAGTTCAAAGTAAATAAAAGACAGCCTCCCCCAACCATCCCCACTGGGTTATCATGCCATAGCACTGGGCACTGACCTGCTTTGCCCACTTCCCCTCTCCTCAGTGATCCTTCAGCCTGGCACCCAGCTCTGAGATGAGGCCTGCTTAGCACCAGTGAAGCTCCCCACGTTCAAACCAACAACGTTCTGTGTGGAGATGAGGGAATCAAAGTTAAAATCCAACCCATCAGCATCCATGAGTTCACTACGGATAATGGACTCCATGTCACATTCCAAGCTCCCATTGAACATGTCCAGGTCCAAGTCGCTGGGGAACTTCTCATGGCCCATGACGGGAAGGTTTGCACTAGTTGAGTACAAGGAGGAGCCTGAGAGAGAGTCTGAGAGGGTTTGCATAGACTGGCTGACAGACTGCTGCTGGTGTTTGGCTGACCCAAGGCTGCTGGAGTCGCTCAAGCCCATGTTGCTGACGGAATTCGACAAGGCACGGCTGCCACCGAGAGTGCCCTGGGTTTGGTGCTGGTGGTGGAGCAAGTTCTGATTGACCAAACTCCCTTGGTTAGGCTGGGCGGCAAAGGACATCATTGGGTCATTGCGAAGCATCACGTTCCGGCGGGAGTTCTGGGCAGACACAGCGGTGCTGGCCTGAGACATCAAGGGGTCTGACTGGGTCATCATGACATCACTGTGGCTGAGTGAGTCCGAAGTGAGCAGGTCCTGGAGTGTCTGGTTGCCATAGTGTGACATGGAAGAGAAGGTAGCTGGCTTGTTCTCTTGGATGGTCTGCATGGGAGACTGACGCAGAGAATTCAGAGACGAGGGTCCGAACACCGTGCTGTTAAAGGAGCTGGTGGGAGAGCCCAGGCCGGAGCCCTTGGTGGTGTATGGGAAGCTAGAGCTCCGCTGCATGAGCCCTCCGGGGGGCGATGGCTGGGACGATGGGAGCGTGATGTTATCCAGCAGGTCATCCATGAGGTTGTCAGCCAGCCCATCATTCAGATTCATGGTGCCCGCCATGTCGGTCAGCCGTGGCAGCTCCACGGTGCATGGCTTGCTTACAGAGGGTGAGAGGCTGGCTGAGCTGCTGTAGAGCATGGGGGAAAGTGGCGCATCATCATCCTGGACATCATCCAACTCTGTGCTTGCCAGGATGGGTGACAGGCGGCCGCTGACTGTGCTGGCATTGGAATTGGTGCGTGAGCGGAAGTCCGTCCATGCATCCAGCTCATCGCTGCTGCGTGATGTGGGGCTGCCAGGCCACTTGGAGAGCTGGGAGGGACTGTCGTCTGCTGACTCGGGGGCTGTCTGCAGGGCTGCCTTCTTCTTGGCTGCACGGCCACGGCTCTTGGTGTACTTGTTGCTGTTGTCCATGGAGACGGCCCGCCGCCGGGGTGCCTTCCCGCTCTTCCCCCCATCAGGGTTGATGATCCACCAAGAGCTCTTGCCAGTCCCCTCATTCTGGACCCGCATGAACCGGCTATGCAGCGACAGGTTGTGCCGGATAGAGTTCTGCAGAGAGAAGGGAAAATGCAGAAGATGAGCCTGAATGTTGCAAACTGAGTACCGAGAAGAAACAGTTAATCGGACTCCTTATTTTTTAAAAACTCCTCAATTTCAGAGGCTTAAAAAAAAAAAAAAAAGACAAACAGCTGCAGGACCCGCCTTGGCTTGGAGTTAAATGACAACATTGTAAACGGCAAGTTTTATATTTAGGAGGTGGGTGATGGTTTCATATCCAGGAGATGCTGGGAATGTATAAGCTCACTGACATTGTTTTCCCCAAATTCCTAAGTTTTGCTGTCCTTTCTGTAATTGTATTTCCTATTCTGAAGTTCACACTTATAATTTATTACCACGCCACCCTCTCCCCGCACTTCGCCACACACCTCCCTGGCTCTAGGATAATGAATCACCCAGGGGCTATTTATTCTCTCATCGTCCCCTCTTCCACCAGCATAGAAGCAGCATCTACCTTTTCTTAACTTCTATGAACTCAGAACTGGAGTGCATTTTTAACCTATCCTTTCTATGATTCCATCTCCTCCTGCCACAATGTCATACCTGTCCGGCAGGCTTAAGGAAAAAATGGCAGCAATGACAGAAGAAGCAGGCAAATCTCCCATTCAGAAAAATTCCAAATAATTTATAGATACTCTCCCCTCAAGGCAATGTGGTCTGAGCATAGTTAACTTCCTTCCAAAGAGAACAGTACGAAAAGGCGGGAAAAGAGTTACTGTACACTGGAGAAAACCGACCAACACTCTTTCAGCCAGGTGACCAAGGGGAACATCAACAGGATAAGTCATGGTGATGACATGCATTCAAATAATGTGATGAAAATGGCACCTTCCTTCCAAAATCCATCACTCCAGTCTAACCAGGAGAAAACCAGACAAATCCCAATTAAGGGACATTTATACAATGCCTGTCCAGTATTCCTCAAGACTATCAGAGCCAAGAGGAGCCTACAGAAGCATGATGACCAAACATAATGTGGTATCCTGGGTGGGAGGTTGGAACAAAAAAAGGACATTAGGTAAAAATGAAGGAAATCTGAATAAACTAGGGACTTTAGTTAATAATAATGTGTCAATATTGGTTCATTCATTGTGACAAATGTACCAAGCTAACAGATGTTAACAATATGGGAAAACAATGTTGGGTATATGAGAACTCTCTGTTCTAGTTTTGCAACTTTTCTGTAAATCTGAAACTCTTCTAAATTAAAAGGTTTATTAAAAAAGAAAAGAGAGGGCCGGCCTGGTGGCACAAGCAGTTAAGCGCGCACGCTCCGCTGCGGCGGTCCAGGGTTCGCCGGTTCGGATCCCAGGCGTGCACCGATGCACCGCTTGTCAAGCCATGCTGTGGCGGCGTCCCATATAAAGTAGAGGAAGATGGGCATGGATGTTAGCCCAGGGCCAGTCTTCCTCAGCTAAAAAAGAGGAGGATTGGCAGATGTTAGCTCAGGACTGATTTTCCTCAGAAAAAAAGAAAAGAGAAATAGGGAAAAATAGCTTCAAAACACTAATGACTACACCCATCTTGCAAGAATCCTCCTCCTGGCTTGGTAGATAAGCCCAGTTGACAGCATGACCCAGATCCAGTCCCATCTCTGTCTGTGACCAACCATGTGACCTTGAGCAAATCATTTAACCCATCTGCAATAACTCCAGTTCTCCATCTTCATTACAGCCCTAATAGCATCCAAATCACCCCTCCCTGACAGGGATGACGTAAGGATGATATATGATAAGATACTTTAGGAGCCAGTCACGTACAAAATCAGGGTGTTCTTATGCTATTAAAAAGCACCGAGTCCCTGGTGGAGAGAGCTCACCGCCTGTGCGAGCTCCTTTTAATCTGTAAAATGCCTCACGTGGAATAAGAGAGAGGAGTCGATGGATTCTCCACATCTGGAACAGCACCTGCAGGCCAGATGAGTTTTTATTTGCAAGTTAAAGACATAAGATATTGCCTGATGCTGTGCATTAAATACGAACAATCCTAAAAGTTCCCATAGTTTTAAAAAAATTGGCAATCGCCAACTGTATTTATGTAGAAGATACAAATACATGTGTTCTACCAGAATGTTTTTAAAACACAGCAAGTCAGCGGGATGTTACCATAAGTAAATAACCCAAAATACTCACAGTACCTCCCACGTCTATGTTTCTGTGCAAGGAAGGCCTACAGTTCAGGCTGGGCAGTGAGCGTCAACAACCGTGGGTCAAAAGTTGGCATTTCTACGGTGGCCATAAAGATGCATTTGCGAGAAGCAAACAGGCAACAGGCCTGTATCTGATGAGACAAATGTTGCCCAGGAGACTATATATCCTGCTTCCCTTTCACTCATATGGTTCTTAAAAGAATAATGGCATCTCTACTAATGGTTCAGAAATTACATTTCTTTAAAAAGTAAAACACTGTCTCTATAAAATGGATTTGAAGCATGCTCTTAAAACTCACTTGGTGGGATTCACAAAGCAGGCAAGTGCAAGGTGGTTCTACTATTGAGTACTCACACGACTAGATATATTAAATAAAAACTTAAGCTTCATCTTCTTGGTGGAAAAATAGGCTGAGGCTATGTGGGGCCACGTGGACACTGGTCCAGTCACCCCCACCCTGGCCAGCCCCCTCTGCTCCAGATTTTGGAAAGAGTTCAGACCAACACTCAGAATTAACAATGACCAATCATAAGTATCCAGTTATCCTCCTTTTAAAAAGCATTTAGGGAACAATATTTCTTAAAAATGTATTTTTAATTTCACCAATTCCAAACTGAGGAAAAAAAAAAAGAAATAATTTAGAGATCTCCAAAATGCCCTGTATGAATTTTCTAATGGTCATCTATCACTACAACTCTAAACCCCGACAATGTATACGTGTAATTTTATAAAATGAGAAGCTACAATTGGTTAAAATTTGGAGATAAAAATTAAGCTTCTGTAAGGGTACATGGTAGAGGGGCTGGCATCCCCATACCTAGGAACAGATCTGCAGGGGTCAGAGCCCAGGCCCTAACTTCCAGGGTGAAGAATGGAGAGCCTGCCTGATTACAGCACCAGCAGGTACTGGGCCATAGGCTTTAGATTCATTGTCTCTAATCCTCATAACAAACCTGCAAAGTTGGCATCAGTGCCCTCATCATATATATTAAGACTCAGGCTGAGAGATGATATTAAATAACTCACACAAGGTCACACAGCTAGTGTCTATAAGAACCAAAGGTCTGTCACCAAATTATGTAGAAGTCATTGTTTAACCTATCTGTGCTAACATTTAAAGAAACAAACATTTATGAAAGAAGGATACAAAAGCACAATCTTATTACTGCAATTTTGTTTACAAAATAGTTAGGCGTAATAATTTGGTGGGTCTTTTCTAAAATTAAAAAAAAAAAAAAATTTAAAAGAAAGCCTGTCTTTCAGAAGAGCAAACCTATAAGTGAAGGCTCACTTGAGCAGATGCTTTCTTTGCTAAGGTGCCCACCACAGCATTCACTCTAAGGAGGGCAGTGGTTACCATTCTGAAACAAAACCCAACTTATTACACGGGTGATTAGCTTCGGTGTCCAATATTTGCTCGATTCTTGTTTTAGAGGTTATTAGTGGCAGAATACATTCCCTGAGGTATATTACCTACGCAACACTCAGACAGGTATTTCCAGTTACATTACTGAGACAACACAAACAGAAACTGTGCCACCACCATCCTCATAGTCCCCTTTCTTAGCAGCCTTCTATCCATACAGGCTGGCCAGCCTTCCATTTACAAAATCCATTATCTGAAGGCAGGGCATTGACAGAAGCTAACAAATATGGCCCCTCACTCTGACAAGGTCAGATGCCAGAACTGTATTCTGGTTTTCCTCATAGGTCGTGATTCTAATCACTAGCTTCTCTATCTAAATTTTGGTGAAGCAGGAAAAGGTAAATAAATAAATGCTGGATAAAATGTCAGAACTGCAATGTTTCCCCACACCTTCCCTGATGACAAAAACTAATGATGATATGATTTCTGTAAGATTTCAAACTGCTCCTCCCTCACCTCAATCCCAGGAATAAAGAAGTGGGATTTATAAAAATAGGCAAGCCAACTGTAAAATCCTCTTATGATTTATAGTTTAAGTTTTCTAAAGACCTCTCCATTAGGCTCTGTCAATTAGTCTCTAATGTACTATGTGTATTTTAAACTATAAAACTACCAGATTAAAAATATTCTATGGTTTTCCACTAATTCATATATCATCTTACCAAATAGTCTAAATTTCTAAGATTTTACATTAGTTTGGGGATTAGGAGCTGAAGGTAAAGGAGGAATGGTTTGATAGGACTAGAGTGGTTTTTCTGATCACATCTAAATACACATTTTGAAACACCTTGTGAGGCAGGCCAATGTTAATTGGCTGAAGTACCAGGGATGTGCTCTCCTTAAGGCTAAGGCGAAAAGGTAAATATTACCAACCAAGACTCCTATTGCTAGAGCTCAGGCCATTCTGTCATCAAGTTTACTAACTAAAGGCACCAAGAAGCAACTATAACCTCAACCCAAGACCATGTTGAATAGTTCCGGTTAGTCAAATCCACTACCAAGAAATCAGGATACTGATGAATTACAAGAAAGCACCATCTTTAGAAAGAAACTTGAGCTTCAGGGATAAATATACCAGTTTTTCTCCAACATGGATCCAAAGATTTAGGGAACCCTTAAAGCAACTCCATCACAACGTGTCTGAAGAGAGAGCAGAGATAAGAATACTCTTCATCTCATTTTTATGTCATTTTCTCTTTACTTACTTACTTTTTTTGGTGAGGAAGATTAGTCCTGAGCTAACATCTGTTGCCAATCCTCTCCTTGTTGCTGACAATGACTGGCTCTGGGCTAACATCCGTGCCCATCTTCCTCTACTTTATATGTGGGACGCCTGCCACAGTACGGCTTGATAAGCTGTGCATAGGTCCGCACTGGGGATCCGAACCTGCGAACCCCCGGCCACTGAAGCAGAG